GGCCTGGTAGGGGTTGTGTTGACCAAATCTTCAAACTGCGCCAGGTGCTAGAACAACGCCATACGTATAAGCGACCCACGGTTCTAGTATTCCTGGATTACCTAGGCGCATTCGACTCGGTTGATCGGTCTGTTCTTCTTGAGACGCTTGCCCACCAAGGAATGCCCCGGAAGTTTGTAAACATAATAGGTTCCTTGTATTCACAGACTTCCGGACGTGTGAGTGTACGGAGAGCTCTCCAAAAGCTTCCGTACACAAAGCGGTGTCCGTCAGGGATGCCCACTCTCTCCATTCCCTTTTAACTTCGTAATCGATGAAATAATGAGACGAACGCTGGAGGGTCCCCAAAACCCCGGTGTTCAAATAACCTGTGAAGAAAACCTTGTCGATCTGGAATATGCAGACGACATCGTTCTCATGTTCGAAGAGGAGGAGAAGGCGCAAGTATTCTTGTATGAACTGACCAAAGTCATCCCGTCGTTGGGTATGCACTATGCACCCACAAAGTGTGAGGTCATGCTTGTGGACGTGCAGTCACTGAACACGCCCCTTACAATCCAGGGAGAGATGATGATGATGATGATGATGCAGTAGCGTCCAACTGGTGTACATGAACTACGGACTGCTTGAAACTGTTCTAACCCTCCAGCTCCGGGTTGCGAATGGTTTATCGACGACTTCTTTAGCGTGCACCGATAAGAGGTATAGCACTGCCTATCCTTAGCAAGGCGATGTAAAGATGTTTTTGCGGACATTGTTGACTGGTCCTGAAAGGGGAACCAGAAAACCACTGCTGTTGCCAATCAAAACCTGACTGATACATAGTGATAATTAGCAACAAGAAGTCCCTTATGGCAGGCTGATGCCTACTATGAGAAAACAAAGCGGCAATCAAAGTTTTTTTAGTGCCGTAGTGCTTAATCATAGCAATAGATATTTAAACTGTGGCATGCAAACATCACAGATAAAATATGACATCTTACTTCTTGAAGCAACTGGGCAGTTCGCCTGCAGAGCAGACTGAAAAAATCAAGTGCGAATCGAGCAGCATGGTCGTGATGGACAGATCGCAAGGTTTCCACCCCGGCAAGATGAGAAATGGGTTGTATTTTTGGGGTTTTGCTGTCGGATTCAGTGCGCTTTATTGTTGACAGATTGCTCGCGTTGGTGAGCGAGACGGCACGGTCCACGTTGTACATATTCACGATGCATAATTGACACAAACGTTCGGCAGATAGAGGGCACGGTTTTTGGGCTAGAAGACCAGAGAAAGCTTGCAAGGCGAGGGATGCTACTTCAGGAAAGGTTTCCATACTGTGTGGGATGTAAGAAAGTAGCGGGAAAAAACGTGATAACTTCGAGGTTAGCGTCGTTACAGTGATGACATGCGTCCACTGCAGAATTTGAAGGGGCTCCTCAATAAGAAAAAAAGACTCCCGAATTACTAAGACATTTCTCACTCGCTGGGGGTCTCAGTAGCAATAAACAAAGAAGTGGGATTTCATCCTGCTTGGACCTCACCAGGTGAACCTAGACCCCGAATATTAGGCAATCATTCCACTAGCTGGTTGGTTACGTACAGCTTTCAACGTGACAACGTCTTCAATGTGAGGGGGCCATTATGAGCCTATATATCACATTGAACATTATCTGTGAACGAAACTAAATCCATCGGTTTTAAATTAGCTACACAGAGCGAAAAATTCCTTTGCACTTGTAACACTTTGTCATATTCCGTGAAAATGGAAACTATTTATTCATCCATACCATGAATGAGCACATGAAGAAAGCAAAGCCGAATGGTTTTCACATGCGCTGGAAAGTACTAATGAGAAACTTACTGAAGGCAACTAGACTACATAAATAAAAAATTTAAACATTGCAATCAGTGATTACGGCTTAAAGTGCCACACTCGCCAATACCGGCAATGCGTGGTGTACATCCTTTCACAGCTGGCTTCCGGAGTTAAAATACCGGCCCAGTCAAGCACATAAATGACCTGCCCGCGCAGTCTGACATGCGCAAGCCGGTCGAGATAACAAGGATAATTACTGGTCCGGACATTTTAGGTTAAATGCTCTGGTGGACAAATGGCACCATGCTCACCTCTCACAAGAGAGGTCATCAGTTCAAACCCCGGCGCCGCTACTGAGCTACGATGAGAGCTAAACTGGAATCCAGTGCTCTCCCTTTTGTGACCCAACCAGAAAGATGACACCAGGACAAGGAGCCGGATTGTCCAAACACCCAGAGGTTCGAAAGTCCAGGCAATTTTCATAAACTGGCTCTTTAGATGACCTGGTACCAAGTCAAGGTATCCGGCTGAATGTCGAACAGGAACCTGAAGAGCTCTCAGGGAATCCCATGGATNTCCATGGGATATATATATATATATATATATCAAGACACCGTCAGATCATCACAGGAACTTTATCAAAGCCTCGCCTTCAAAAAAAAAGACAGAACAGACGACTAGGTTACACAGTTAACCAACATGCCAAGAGATAGAAACTGGACGGCAGGGTTGAATGTGATGAAAAAAGAGATACGGAAGTGCAGCGTACAGCCAAGCACATACAGATCAGACGTCTGATCATTCAGACGTAGTAATAGATACAGGAAGAAATGGTGAAAATTAGAATCGAATCAACGTTCCACAAAAAACAGTCAATCGAAAGTGAACTCACCCTATTTTTGTGTACAGTTTTCCATGTGCGTGAATGAAAGTCAGTCCAAACTGCCTACTGAGCTGAAACAGGTAGAAAGTGAAAAAACCGAGATAGTGACTAGTCCTATTATCAAATCCTAGGAGAAACGCAAAGATGAAAGGTGTGGCTAGTGGGGCAAGGAACTGTTCTTATCGCATTAGCGCACTTGTTAAGAACGCCATCCCTTTGAAGATTGCACAACTCGTGATAGCTGAAAGCTTTAAAATCGAAGGAATTGATTTACGTTGTACGATGAATGTCCGATTCCTGTTCAATGGATGGTTCTATGGACAAATGGATGATGCAGTTGGGCACCCCCCACGAGACCCAGGGCATGCGGACTTATTCACATCCAAACTTGAAAATTTCACAATATCCAATACAACAGAATCTCTGAACACATTGTGTCGATTACTCCACAAACTATGCCTCTGTTGTGAATGATTTTAGGGGGTCTGTCTTTCGAAAGTGAATATGAACAGGAAGATTAGCTGACCATTCATAAGGTGCTGCTGACAAGAACCTACACGGGCCAACATGTCATGTGTATCGCAGGCCAACATGGGCAGGCCCGTAGATACTTTTGCAGCCTCGTTCTCCTTTAAGTCCAATGGAATCTTGCGTTTATTCCCCGTACGACGGAACAGCAAAACCTTGTCCAGCGAACAGACTGACTGAGCACTTGGACATTCTCACGTGCTTTGACAAAATGACTTCTCAGAATGATCTCTGGCGATACAAATCAGACCGAAGCAAGCTATACGGCAGGCAAAACCCGAGCTACTCTAACTTCGTCTTCCTTTGAAAACCGGCGTGACTGGTGAACTGATGGTAAGAAGTCTACAAACGACATCTACCGGAACACCTCATGCTGCACGCCTAATTACGCTTCTCACCAGTCATCCCACTGCCGGACAAGAGCCAAAAGACAAACTCCCCCGTCAGATCACTTCAGTGTGTGTTTATGAGTTTGTCTGCTTCTACAAAAACAACCATAACAGTTAATAGGGCAATTCCTAAGGCGTACGCCAGATCAAATAATGCCCGCGTAGCAGAGTAGACAATGGTCCAATGTGGACAGTTCTGTTTTATCCCTAATTCCAAACAGTTGAAACACGGTTGACTTTTTAAACGGTGTTTTTCCAGTGTGCGATATACAAACAAGGATACAAAACCTTTAAGAAGCTGAACTTTATAACGCAGAAGCACTTGGTTGCCGTATTTTTGAGCCTAAACACCATGCACACAAACACTTCGTAGTCTCAGGTGACTGGACAATTAACACCAATTTCAAGTGACGCAATTTTATCGGCCTTATAAACCGATGACTGATTTCAACCAGTTATACTGCATTCTGGTCATTTTATACGTCTCAGACAGTGGAAGATATATGGAAGACGTCTTTTCCGATCTTGTTCAATTCCATGAGCATCCTGCTTGATTCATTACAAAAGAAACATCGCTCAAGCTCAGTAGTGTGTTGTGAAGTTCAAGCCGTTGAAGCCCACAGAGTGGCAAAGGCAATCAGGGCGATAATATAGTGAGGCAAGTCGTCTAGTGATGGCCAGACGAATGATATCGACTTCGAGGAGTTGTGGTATTTGAACGGAATGATTGAACTAAACCTGATGGTCATGCCACACCAAAACTGGGCTACCAAACATGACAACCGACGTTGCCATCAGTCGGCACCGGTAACAGATAATTCACCTCAATTAAAGACATATTGGCATACTCCTCCAATTCAGCTTGGGCGTCCTCATCATCGTCGTCTTCATTGTCACAGTTGGTGTCAAGATCCACCTCGCCAGGTTTTGCGGAAATTTTCTGTGTGCCCACGTTTGTTGGGGGAGGTAAGTAGACTAATCTTCTGGCCCCCTGAAGTACCGTGGTCTGACCGTCCATTGGATGAACCCAAATTTCGGCGCGTTGGAAGCGGTTGTTAGGATTACCAAATGGACCATGATGGGGTGCGTTCGGCTCGTTTTTGGGTTTACGCAACTATTTAAAAAATAAAGTGAGACGAAATGAAAAAGGAGTGGCGCCAAATTCGCCTGTTCCGGGAACAACAGGCTAGACGAAGAGATATTTGCAGAAACCAGCAAAAAGACAGACCAAAAAACTAACAAAGCTAGCAAGCTGTAAAATCAAAGAATGTACACTGGGCTGCAAGTAATTCGACATTTACTCTACGAGCAGAAAACGATCCCATCAAAAATGCCCCAATTCACAGCTATAACGGTCTTCGTCACAACTTTGGTTCCATTCACAGATTGTGATCGTTTTCTGTGATGTGGTGTGCTAACACTTAAAACAACAAAGAATGTGAGTTGTGTTCATATATTAGTCCTGTAAGAGCCGTATCCGGAATGTGGCGGTAGATAGCCAACGTTATCGTCACCCAGTTAACAGAGGCCCTATGAAGTTTACCACTGTAAAATGGCTCAAGTGGTTAGATCACGAAGTACACTGACCGGAAGGTCCGTGGTTCGAACCCGACCTCTGTCTCTCGACTTCCCCTGTCTAGGCTTGGACAACCTGGCAGTATCCCAACCCTCGTGCTTCCTTCAAGTAGCATGGCAGCTAGGAACTGGAAGGGTGTTACAGCTGAACGATTTTTTCGTCACTGTAAGCCCTGAGGTAAGGTTTTCCGTTCCCCTACCAATGATTCGGACATGGCCAAAAACAATAACAGACTAATCGCCCCTTATAGCTGAGACTACGTTGACCACCTTGACAGACCATGAGAGAGAACGTTTTGTGACTATCAACATGAAGATCGTCGCTTCTCAAACTTCTGTGCGGTGTGCAAAAAAATCGACTGTACAAATGCTGGAGAATACATTCCTTGCCAAACACAACAATTGCGCGATTGTTCGAAACTCTAGCTCTATCACCATCGATAAGGCCAAATTTAAGTTTACTGGTCGCAAATCTGATGGACTGGATCAGGCGCCCGCTAGGAATCGATCTTTCTCGAGCCATGCGAAAGTTGTTGGTCGTAATTCCCATCCTCCCGTTAATGATTCCAGCCACGGGAAATAGCACTTTGCCTTCAACTCACACATAATCGCCCGTTCCACTTTCCCCGTCAGCCTCCACTCAATTGTCTCACCCACCATTACGTGGAATGCCATATTCCTTTCCTAATTTGATATATCAAAGCCCTACGGGTAGTATCTCATCCATTTTGTTGGGAGTGTGCGTTCCAACAGCCACTCTTATCATTGCACGCCTTTCCGTCCAACCTTATCAACTAGTTCTACATTCTGCTGAAAGCTCTTATATGTTCCCCCTAGTCCGAAACATGGGTCCCTTGCTGCCCCGTCCCAATCCTCAATTTCGTCCAAGGTCATGGAGGCTACGCCTTGCCAGACAGGTCCCACGTGACCTTGAGCGGAATCCTCTTTTAAACTGCAAGCAGAATAGATTTAGGTGCCACCGGTCTGTGGGTGACCTCTTGACGTCTTCCTCACGTCACGCTCAGTCACCTGTGAAACTACTGGCGACACTGAACTGGTTTGTCTGGAGGTCTCAAGAGGTTTCAATTGGCTAGCTACTTAAACTACCCAAAGTCGGTTAATAACATCGTTTGACCAAGTGGTCTAGGAACTTCAGAGCGAATCGGTCACCATGATCTCGTCTAGATGATGCGGTTTCTCAAATCCACATCATCAGCGCTGGATTTCTGATGCGTTGTGTTCTACCACCCACCATTTTCCTACTGTTAACAAATGATGTATCCTCAGCCATCTATGGTCGCATCCAGGCATTCGCTGACCATAGTAGTCCTCCTACAATCCTCTCTCATGAATTTGTCTCGCGTTAGTAAAAACAGCATGCAGACCATCAGCGCCTTGAACGCCGATCATTCATTATCAAATGCGGTTACAATTTATCTTCCCAAATTACTACACCTTACCTCCAACAACTATCCGACTCTGGTCTCTGCCTGCGTTTTCGGAGTGTTCTTTTTGGTCAATCATTATCTAAACATCTTTTCTGACTATCCAGTGTCAAACAGACTGCAGACTGGACCTTCTGAAATGTTGGGTTTCTGTTCCGTTCATGAAAATTCACCTTGCCTGCAAAATTTTCCCAATCTAAAAAAACCTAATCCATACCAATACGGAGTACTCAGTTCATGTCTCCAATGAATTCCTTCCACTTATATTGCACTCCTCCACCAAATTTGATGGAAGGTTGCGCGTCTAACTGCATCTCATAACCAGACTGATTACATTTGATCCCTTTCAAACAGTGGGAACGTAATCTCCCCCTTTATCTGTACTATTACGCCACTTTTATGTTCCACTTCCTTAGTAGAACTCGCCTGTTCGCTTCCAATAACGACTACCAGGTGAGACTCCGATAATACAACAAATAACCCTTTTCCTCTGCGTTTTTCACCAAAACCATACGGCTCTAAGACACTTACTCACACTGTCTTCCTAGCTCCCTGTGATATTTCATTAACCGATACTCGAATAAAGCACTACCTGTCCGATCCTAGACGACACTGTGTTTCATACTGTTTTCCACGTTACTTAACTGTTCCAATTTGTTATGGTGGCGTATCCTAATTTTGTTGAAGTCTCCGAACACGGCTTCAGTCTTCTGTAATACACTCATATAGGCGATTAGAAATAAGAAAGCGGGTGACAACATTGATTAAACTGGTGTAAGACATGAAACATGACAGAACCAAAAAATCACAAGCACGACAATCCAAGACGAAGCCGAAAAATGGAGTAAGGAACTCTTAAACTCTGATAACTGCATGGCGAACTGATAGCCAAGGGGCAAAACCGGAGGTTCGTACAGATCCCAAAACACCTGGTATTCTGTAAGTGTTGTAAGTAGGTCTGCGGTCCAGCGAAAAGGCGATCCTGAGAACAACATCGGATAAAAAAGAAGACTGCTCATCTCAACAAACCAAGTTGCGCCTTTGAGAGTTCCGCGAGTGAGTTATGAATTAGCGAGGAATACGTCAGAAGGGCAGACAACCGATCAACCGCCACAGGCAGATTTGCTAAAACCGGCTCTGTTAGCAAACGGCTCCCCAGAAAAATTCATTACTTTGCATAGCAAACGAAGCACTGCATCTAAAATATCCTCTACAGATAGATAAAACATCTATTAATGTTTCATATATGACACGATATTTTGGGTTGATCTGGTCTCAAATAAAATCAGGACTTCACTCCGACTTGAACCAAATTTATCAAGCAGCTCAGTTTCGCCCGATTTCGACAACCAGAGGGATTGTGTTTAAAAAAGACCCCAGAGCTTGTATCCTCATTCTGCACACTTGCGGAAGAACTGATCTACGTTGTACTCAAAGGATCTCGGAACACATTCCAAATTAGCTATGATGCAACGACCCAACACCACTAACAGCCAGATCCAACCGGAGGTCATCGATTTCAAATATTTCCTGTACAAGCCACCTGGCCGACCTTGCTGGCTTCATATGAAGCAATCTTAATAGGAAAGCAGTGATCCAAACTGCTGTCAATTCAAACTGTTCGGCTGCCCAGGAATCGAACGTGAACCACCCTGCAGCTCAGAGTAATGTATCGTTCGATGTGATCAACTTGTTGTTACTATATCCGTTACCTACAAATGTTGAACGTTGTGCGTCTGCGACTAATGAAAGTGATTCGAAATGTCCTCTGACCGCTCTGATGAAATTGGTCAATGGGATCCTATGCTTTAAAGCCATCCTGATTATATAATTTTACACACATAGCGCACAGGCGTGGGAGTTCATATTTCTTCAATTTGGACAGGGCTACATGCGTCGTATCATAGCATAGGAATCAGCTTTCAAACTCCCTCCTTATCAAGATGGCATGAGTCTCACTGGTGCGGCCACTTTTCAAAGATGACTGGTTTCGTCTGTGTTCGGCTGAAGACTTACGGAAAAGAATGCGAATCAATACCATTATCGGTGTGGTTTCACGGCTCAGCTCTTTTGATAATTTTTCAGGAGACCAAACGTCCTCGCAGAGCTTTGTTCGTCAAGTGAATGGATGAATTGAATAGGTGGTGGTGTGCGCTCCCCATAACCCAGTGGTTGACTCGCGAGCTACCGACCTCAAGGTCCACGGTACAATTTTAGTCTGGGATTCTAATTTCTCCAATGTGGGCTTGGGCGGCCTGACAGTATGGTTGCAAGACAGGATACATGAAATAAATACAATATTTGGCTTGACTTTTGTAGCCAGTACTCCTGAGTTTTACCACAAGGATTCATGCGTTTTATACAGTACAGGGAGATTAGTGACGAGTAGCTTTGAAGTGTCCTGAGTGGAATTTCGCAACCCAATTCCGTTTTGGTGGTCTCAGTGCAGGAAAATGCTAGCGGGGGATACACGTTCAAGAGATAGTGAGTAAGTGCGGATATAACATTGAAGGGCTCTGCGGTGAACAGGTGACGGAAACGGAGTACATAAGACGACTTTGAGGTAATTATGGTCTTCAGGTTTTCCGAGTAGATCACCGTCTATGAGTGGCCTCTGTTCAGGACATTCATCAGACCACCTCATGCTTGAGAGGAATCAAGTTAAAGTAGAGATATACGAAAGCTGAGTATTATGAAGTTACTAGAAGAACAACCGATTACAGCTGGAGATGGCTTACCTGTCGTATCAGGTTCTCGGCACGTGGTCGGATTTCGTTAAACAGAGCGGACAAACTCTGAGAAGCTGTTGCAAACGGGTTGCTAGCCGCAAGAGTTCGCATATAATAGTACATTGCGTCCAAGTGTCGAGACTGGCAAAGGGAGAAAGTAAATGCACTAAGGTGAGGCATCGAAGCACAACTGCTGGATGATTGGAAGGTGAAATGGATTGACCGAAGCTGGAAAAGAAAGATGGTTTCATGAGGTTCTCATCTCCTCTCTTCTCACTAGAGAACCCATGGAGTTGTGAGGTCCGGGCTTCCCAATTACAACAACAGTAGTGCGACTGGCTAAGTCTGGCTTATCGTGGTTCACTTCAATGAAAACACGAACACCTTGTAAGATGATTGCTCAACAGCGGTACTTCACAGTACGGAGAACTAAGCGTTCGGATGTCAACCTCACTTCAGCTTATTCACAAGAACATGTCCAGTGGACTAATTTATCCTGGGTATGCATAGCAAGTTACACGCCACCTTGACCTTACTGAGTTGAAGTGGTAGAACAGTCACGTATATGTAAGATAATCCAATAATAACTCACTGTATACACGGCCAGCACAGCCAGTTGGTTGTAAGATCGACCGTTTTTCGGAATCAGCAACTGTGCTTTCTGGTACCAACTGAAAAAACACGGAAGGAATAAGGGGAATAGCGAACTTTACTGAAGCTCTTTGAGAATGTTCATTATAATCAGAAGAATATCCCGTTGGTGAGTAATGATCTTTCACGACTTTCTACGTAATTATTGTTAGTAATAAAAGATGATAAAAGAAAATCGCCACACAAATCATAACCTGATTCGAATATCAGAGGATCGTCTTCCGCTCAGACGACCGCTCTTGGTCCGACCGTGCGTGTTTACGAGAAATGTGTCCGCCTGAAAACTAGCTACCAACATCTGTCAATTCCATCGGTTCATGTAACGGTACATTATATCAACCTAACTCACAGGCGACAAACTCAAAATAACGATCGAGAGTGTTTTTCACCTTAATATCAGTGGTTTCGGCTCAGATTTGAAAACAAAGTGTCCAAAGCATATGCACCAGAAGTAAACTTAAGCGTTGGTGGAGAAGAATCGGTCATAACCAGCAACCTGAGAGATGCTAACAATTGTAGCTTCTCCGGATAGGGACCTTAGATTGGGCTACATTAGGAAGTAGACAAGGAACCGTAACGTATTCAGTGGCAATTTCACAGTCCTTCAACTAATTGCACGAAGTAAAGATATGCCCATATCTAATCTACTTTCATAAGTCACTCCCGTGCTTCGGACCAACAGTGTTACGACTCCAATCCATTTAACATCTGTGGACAAAAGGTTGGAGCTAGGATCACTGTGTGGCAATTTGTTGTAGTTTATTGCCGATAGTCATATTATATTGGAATATGAAAACACGTTCAGATGTGCACAACTATCAAATTCTGAAGGATTCCCCCTCCGTTGGGATATAATAAAACCTACGAGAAGAAAGCATGAAGTGTGATTCTTGTTGATTATTCTTCCATTCAGTCACCCTATAGAGATGCTCCCGTGGTGCACTACCGTACATAAAAGTTAAAAGTTTACACTTCACGCGTCCTTTGTTTGGGATAAGCGTAATGAGGAAATACGAATGAAAGAAAGATATCGACGGGAGATAATGTCTACATAGTAAATTGTGATAAGTGGGTGTGACGAGTCGTCCATTCAAGGAGCGCTAAGAAGTTTCGGTTTAGGCTAATGAAATTTCCCAAAAATAACTGCTAGACAGTGAACTTATTTTGTGACTCGACTAATCCTCATGAAATAAGAACGCAAAACGCAAGTGGAATTTGGGGAATTAAATTCTTTTGAAAAATCCGACATTTTCACTACCAGTAAATTCACGTTGGAAGCAACGGAGATTTACTGTGGACTTGATATGATAGACGATTATATGGAGTATCATACACTGAGAGTGAAGAGTAAACCTATGCTAGTTATAGTGTCCGATAGCGCTGGGAACATACATCGAGAAAGAGAGGAGAAATCCATGTCTTTTTGCCCAGATGTCCCGAAAAAACGCTAGCATTCTCAAATCCCCTCACTCCTACATGAGGGCTCGAGTAGATAACACCTCCATAGAGGTTGACATCACCACGTGGTTGAAACAAGGTTGCATTCTGGCTCCCACTTTGTTCAACCGTATCTGGCTACAATTTGGGCAAAAGCGCTTCGATTCCAGCGCCTTCCAGAGGGTCAGCTCTTCAGCTCGAAAAACTTCATGAACGAAACGAAGCCTCACGAGTCAAAGATCATATGCCGCTCCTCCTGAATTAAAGTACTTTATGTGAACATGCTGAGGTGGAATTGTTTAGGCAACACCTCGTCCTGGCATGAATATAAGTGCTTCCAAAATTACTGACGGCCTGGGGTTTACAAGAACATATACTCTGTAGCCAACTTAAGGGCTACTAATGGGTTTTTGTGAAGATATCTAATACCTCGGCAACATCCTGTTCACAGACCTGACAATCGATTCCAAACTACCCGCACGGGTTGTTAAAACAAGACCTGCATTAGGTGGTTTATATACTTTCGTTTAGAGCAAAGTGCACGTGGACACAAAAATTAGTGCACTCCCCAGATTGAAGTAACTGCAGCACAACCAAATAGCCGTTTCCTAAACACTTTGTTACTAACACGCTGACGCCACACAAAACCAGCCACATCATCATTATCGGCAGCATGACATCAGTGTCCAACACCGATGCTTCACTGCCGTACAACCATCATTTATTTGAAAGCCTTATTGTAAAGAAAATAGTAAAGGTGGACGGGGAAGGGACTTAGCGCTAGCTCACTACAATCATTCCGAGGTGCCTACATCTCCAAACAATCACTGAGGCAGTCTGGATAAGATCCGACAACAAGCTCGCCATTGACATCGATTGGCAGCCATATCTTGCAGCGTCTCCAACTTGGCGCAGTGAGGATCACGCGGTCCCTATCCTGGAAAGCGAGTAGCACCGAAAGCACCCAAACTTTTTGTAATTGCCTTGATACGCCTCTGCCAGGTCAAGGGATGGCCATCTCTCTGCTTTCTCCACTCTGGATTGGGCATGGAAAACAGCACTTTCTTCGGCAAACGATGGTTTGGCATACGCAACACATGTTTCAACGAACGCAGCTTCTGGTACTGGACACATTCTTCAATAAAAGTTCTCGTTGCACAACCGAAAACTCGCTTTCTAATTGCATCGTTACGGATTCGCCGACACCAAACAACTGAGACAACGATTGTCGAACACCTGAAGACGTTTCAGTTTTGCTGTTCGAACAGGCCAAATCTCACAGCCATACAACAAAACAGCCCGCACTGTAGTTTGATACACCTTGAGATTCAGGAGTACACCACTTTGACGCCATAGGTGTTTAAAATTAGCATACGCGACCCGAGCCTTAAAGATTCACGCAGTGACCTAATCCGTCACACTACAATCAGAACGAATACAACTTCCAAGATACGTAAAACGCCCTACAGCAGCTCGATGCAGCAGGTTATTCAGGGCGTCATAAAACCTGTCTTTGAAGGCGTCCGAGCGACAGTCAGTTGAGGGGTAGGCAGACACAATAAACTGACATCTATCGAATTCTGGCTTGTGAGACTGCATTTAAGACGTTGCCAGACGAACCGCACAGAGGCGAGTATCAAAAGGTATCCAGTCGATCAGGGATACTTACGTCCGGTGACTTAGGACGATACCCACCCTTGCACATCCCGCCGCAGAAGCTTCTGGATCACCAGAGGTGCGTAGCAGGAAGCGAGTGGAGATTGATGGGGCGGTTAGCTCAATCACTGTGCTTACACCTTGAATTATTATTTCTAAGACACAGCACCACACATGAATGCCAAGCAAGTCCAGTGTGAGAGCAAGAGCAGCTTGTTGTCCTGCCTGTTTCAGAGTGCGGACATTGAAGGCGGTGTCGAGGCTGTAACACTGATTTGGAGATACCTGAGGATGTTGGCGCTATTTGACGAGCAAATGCTGCATGCAAATCCATGCAAGACGAACGTAGATGTCAGTCCTAAGTGCTGGGCCTACAAGGAGAGTAACTAGTGGGGTGGAGAGATGGGGAATAAAAAGTATGTGAAAAAGAAAGAAGGAAGGTGTCCACAGTAGTCTGTTTTCGCATCTCACGAAACTCCGAAGAGTCTCGAACCCGCGACCTCCCGGCTAGTAGTTTGAACACTTAACCGTTCGGCCACGAGTGGCTAGATGGGGAAGAAAAAGCATGTGAAAAAGAAAGAAGGAAGGTGTCCACAGTAGTCTGTTTTCGCTTACCCGCCCTGCTGTATGCAGCAAGTAAGGCGACCCGACTGATGACACCACGCGACGGCCGATGCAGCATGAGTTTATTCGCATATGTGCAGTTCATGACAGCCACGCTTCTGAGGCATCAGTGATCGAAAACCTGAAGACGCCTCAAATCATCTGTCCGCAGAGGCTGTCTCGCACCCATATAACACAAAGCACTTACTGTAGCCTGGTACACACGACCCTTAAGATCCGGTGAGATCTTTTTGATGCCACAAGTGACGCAAATTAGCAAACGAGATTCTTGCACTGACTTCATCAGACACTTCCGTCAGAGCCAATACAACTACCGAGGTATGTAAAGTTTTCAACAATCCGCTGTGATTCTCCTTGAATTGTACGGGATGTGTTCGCAGATGGCACATTCTGAGGCATTTGCACTTTGAAGGTGCAATGCGCATGCCAAAAGATAGTATGACGGTGGTCAGTTTATTCAACAGGGCTTCTGCTTCTCTTTGGTCTTCAAAGATAAGGGTGATGTCATCTGCGTACTCCAAATCGACAAGGCTCTCGCCAGCAACAATTTGAACACCGGAGTTTTGAAGACCGTCCAGTGTTCGCCTCATTATTTCATCAATGGTGAAGGTGAACAAGAATGGACAGAGTGGACATCTTTGTCTGACACCACTTTTCGTAGGGAATCTTTTGGAGAGCTCACTACACACTCTCACCCGAATGCGAATACAGGGATCGGATTATGTTTACAAACTTACAAACACAGGCATACCCTGTTGAGCGAGTGTAGTTAACAGTACTGACTGATCGACAGAATCCAACGCATCCTTGAAACTAAAGATTACCAAGATTAGGGGTCGTTTGTACATATGGCGTTGCTCTAACACCCGAAGATGTGGTCAACGCAGTTTCTACCCGGTTGAAATCCCGCGTGGTTCTCACAAGTCAGGAGTTCACCTGCCACCATAAGACGTCAAAGAATCAGTGAGGCCAGATGGCTCGTCACAACAGGAGTCAAACTAGCACCTCTGCGGTTACTACATTCACTGCAAGTACCCTTTTGGAAATGGGGACTACTGTCGATTCACCCCAGTAGTCTGGGACGGCCTCTTTCTGCCAGATAGATCCAAATGGGCTAGACAGGCACTGGCTGAGAAGTGCACCGTCATCCATGAAGACAGCAAGTGGAAGGTCGTCAGGACCAGCAGCAAGATGACGCTTGAGTAGAGAAATACAGTAGGACACTTCTGAGGCTGATGACGGCTCCATATTCATGGTCCACCTTTCTGTTTAAGGCCAGGATTCTGGAGTGATTGTAGTAGATGGCCAGCTAAGTTGTTGCTCGAAGTACTGTACCCAGCGCTCCGAACGTTCTGCTTTGCTGCATATCACGGAGCCATTTTGGTCTCTGATTATTTCGCTGACTGTTGAACGAATAAAGTGGAACAGCTTGCCCACATTTCCAGCATTCTTTGCATCTTCCATTTCTTCCGCCTTTTGGGTTCATCAAGCTTCTCGGTCTGCACGGATACTCAGTTTCACCTAGTATTGGGTGATGCGTCTGCTGGAGTTGTCACTGCGGCCAGGAAGGATCTGTCACCGGGTCTCACCATCACATGCCTAAGTAAGATTGCCCATTCCTAGACCAAGATACTTAATAATACCTTCCCTACGAAATGACACTNCATCCTCTCAGAGAAGGGCGAACATCACGTCGCTTCCACAAGTGTTTCAGATCGGTGAACACCAATCTTACACTAACGAAGTGGAAAGATACCTCTTCCTCGACACCTTCGCCAATGATTGAGCAAATTTCCAGGAGGATACACCTGCCGACTACCTATATGTCACCTGTTTGGATCAGGTTCAGGTTCCTATCAAACTTGTATTGGTACTCTAGAGTTTCAGGAGGCAAAACGCATGCCATTCCACCTCGAGCCTCTAATCAATCGGTGGTTAGGACTGCCCGTTAAAGGGATGTCATCAACGAGTTTCGAGTAAATAACCTTTCCGATAAGTTTGACACCCCTATCAGACTAACCTACCAATTGCATTGTGGAGTAGCTAAGACGTAATGGATAAGAAAAAAGAAATGAGAAGGCATACCGTCAGTCTTGATATTCCATGGCGTTTGATGCTTAAGTTCATTCAATCTTTGCACATATTTTTCAAACAGATAAATTTTGAACTAATTACTCCATACAAACGTCAGAACACAGAGTCACATGCTGCCATGATACTTGGGAACTCAGTGATTGTTGATGTACAGTATGAGTGACAACGTTCTCGTCATCATCATCATCGTCATCGACAGCACTACATCAGTGTTCAACACCGATGCTTCACTGCCATACAGTGTCCTAACCACTAGCAAGGGATGAATATTCTATCGGTATACCTAAGGCCAGCGTGGAAACCTGTGTGCTCCTGGAATTTGTTTGACGGACAAACTGTGAGAGGGAATGGACCCCAGCATCTTGATTGCGAATGAAATCGAGTCCATGCCCCAACAGGAGCTACAAAAAAACAAAATGAAGTCTCCCTAAAGGTATGAGAAAAAACTGATTCAATACACACTCGCCGAACTTTTTCTTCGGGCCGGAACTTTCAAAACATGCCACGTACACCGCTTTCACAATCGATTGGCTTTCGGCCTCCGGAGCCAGGTCATCAGACTCAGGAACTTTATTAAATTTATGGCACGCAGTTCATCGCAGATCTGTTGTTTGCGGGGTCCAAAAATACACCAAATTCCCAAAATAGAAAGCTTATGAGCCTCAAGAGGTAAGTTACAAACAATGGAAACTTCCGCCAAACATTGATCCTACGACTGAAAGAGCCAATCGCGGCGCAAACGGCTTCTGAGGTTTCGAACGCCGTCTCGCGTCGACAATGAACCACTAATCGCGCTCTGAAGTATGTGCCACCCAAAAGCAGACCCCCGCCAAAGCTGAATTGAAAGCTTAAAACTTGAGAACGGAACCAAAGAACAAGAGCGAACATTTTGTTAAAAAAAGAGTACCATTGAGGATTACTTGCTCTATAAGACACCTCAATCAACCACACGGTAAATAAGAACTATTCTGGCCAAGTGACATCTCAAAATTCAACAATATACAGCCTAGGAAAGTGTTAAAGAGGCAGAAGCTGACTATGGAATGAATTATTTCATAATCAAATGAAATGACTCACCTTCTGGCCTTCCCAAAATTGCGCTCTCCATTCAATAATTCTTTGTATCGTGCAAGATCACCCAAAAATAACATCAGCTTTTGTGCACTCAGGTAGACGAGTCGACGGGTTCGCGATCGCGTTTCTGGGGGTGGACGACCATCAGCAAGCAGAGGAGCAAGTCGAACCCGATGAATTGTTTGAATACGATCCAGCAGGTTCGATAAGCGCGTCTCTCCGCTGGCTATCACATCCGACAGGCAGATATGTTGTAGCAAAGACGTAATCTGCTCCCGTTCTTCAACACTTTGTTCATCTTCTACCTTTCGGTCAGTCCTCACGAGACTGGAATGTAAACAGGTGACCAGAACTAATTGGGATGTGCCAACACACTCGAGAAGAAATGCAAATTGTCAGTGAAGTTCCTGTTTTGGACTAACCTATAACCACTGCGGATTAGAACGATGTTCTAATGCTCGTCGCAATGAATATTTAGTCCACACAGCCTATTCCAGGGGGAAACAGCCTGAAGGAACTCGTGCATGCATCCCATGCTCCTGCAATGTCGTCCCTATCACCTTTAACGATTCCGCAGGCAAGCCGTCCAGTCCGCTACTGTCCCTCATTGGATTTGGGTGATGAACCTCAGCAGTTCTGCTGCTACAGCGCAGTCAGCCATGTTGGTTCTCTCTGCATATCCGCGCGGATGGGTCATATAGCTCAAATCATCATCCGCTGGTGCACAGTGTTGGAAACAGATGTTCCCAAACTGTCAGAATTTCGTCACGCCTCCCCTCAGCTGGAGACACTGGATATTTTGTCCATAACTTTCCTTGACTCTTCGTTACATAAGCGACCCACGAACGACTGGAGTTTTTTACTTCGTTTGACCCATCATTCGTTTCATTTTTCTGCAGGTTTAATACGCTTCGTTACAGCGCTTCTAAATTGCATTCGGACTTGCGGTTCTCAGATCTTGCTTTGGCGCACGCTAAATTCTCTTCTAAAATGTGGGCGGATATCGGTGAATAACTGTTGCCAAACCAATCCAGCATTCGTTCTCCCTTTAGCCCAATTGTACCCGAAGCAGCTGCTGTGTTGGTATTCAGGCTCACTGACTTTTGGATGTGTTTGGGACTTCGTCAGCCGCAAGCCTCTGCGTAGGGGATTCGCAAAGCTTGGATGAGTTCCCTTCTGGTCCACCACGTGACAGTTTTCCGAGTACGATGCGCACTTTAGCACCCACCAAGGAGTGACCTGCATTGTGTTCAGGTCTATCGCCAACTTCTGTGATCAATGACATTACAGCAAGCTTTTTTGCCCCACAACGACATAGTTGATTGGATGTCTCGTGTCGATTTATTGGATGGATCTACGTAGCAAGTAGTATCTGCCTCACACTGAAATACGTGTCTGCTGCTAAAAGTTCGAATGTCGAAGACATAGTTAAGAGCCTTCCAACGTTGTCGTTCGTTGATTCGATACTAAATGGGTTCAGTACCTGATTAGATTCGTCCCGTAAGTAAAGCCAATCTACGCTGGAAAGCCGAGAGCGCTGTACAGCTGTTTCATCCTTATTCGAAATAATCAGTAGTGCGCATTTCACGAAGTTCCAGGAAGTCTTGATTCCGCGACCACCCGATTGGTAGCTTGAATACTTAATTGCTCGGTCAAGAGCCTGTCTCCTCTAGCACATTTCCCAGTCCTTACCGATCCAAGCACTGAAATCGCCCAACGGGAGAGTAGTTTGAAGGTGCGAAAATGACCAGATCTAACGCTGTCGTAGAATTCGTCTTCTGCCTTATTCAAGTGACAAAGTGGGGGCGTAGAAGTGAACAGGTGTAACAAGCCTTGTCCTCGACAGCCGAAATCAGATTGCTATCATTCTCAATTTGGCGCAGTTCGCTTGTTCTGCTACCATCTTATTCAAGTAATTTGCAACTGTTCACGACGGCAGTTGCATCCCAACAGAAGGTATAACTATAACCATCCTCCCGTATCCTTCGTTGATGAGCCAGTTGGGCCTTGGTGAGTGCAACGAGGTCTACCCTGTAGCGCGTGTCTTTCTGTAGCAAGAACATTTTGCCTTCAAGGTTTGTCTCCCTCCTGAATAAGGAGGGAGACGATTTAGATTCCGAATCCTAAAAGAACTTCTTCGCCCTCCTTAGAGTGCGCGTCAGGCGCTGGGAGCTGAGATTTCTTGAATGCTGAGCTTGAAAATGAGGTTATTTCGGGTTTCTTATCCCAAGCCTCTGACTTCAAAGTTTGCCCCACAATGCATCGGGAGGTAGACCCAAACCAAGGACACAAGGATTGAGACATCGAAGTCTGGCTCAATGTCATTGCGCACAGGCGTCTCCTGGGCAGCACTGGAGTCTTGACTTCAAAAGTAATTTGACGGTATTAGATAATTCCCCAGCGGTCACCGAAATTTTTGAATTTGAATTTTGAAGAACCACCAAAATTTGTTGGCGGATACGGTGTTCCTAAACCTCACCAAATTGGAAAATAGTTGTGCACTGCAATTGGTCACGTGCCTGTTGATTCGCTTCACATGAAAACCCACAATATGAATTTCGCACCCTGGTCTTCGTTTTAAGTGAAATCGCTCCCCGGAAGGACTTCGGGTGGTACCTGTTGAGAGTTGCAGGTAACCTCTCAAAACGTATTAATTTGAAGCCATGCCTCATGAGAGCGGGAAGAAGTGTGTCGGAGAGAAGACACAGATGATCCTACTGTTCCTGAGACAGTAGTGGAGGTCTCCTTGCTCCTTCGCTAAGGCATCAACGCCTACAGATTCGTTTCCACTATTCGCACCGAACACATGCGAGCAGCGTAGGGTACGGTAGGCCTTACAGTCACAAAAGTGAGACACGCTCTAACCAACGTAATACGTGTACTGAAATGGTGGTCCACAGGGCAGACCCAACGGGCAAAGTACCTTCTAATGTATTTTCTCATCATTTGCGCGAACAATAACTCAGCAAAAACAGCTGTCGGATAATGACAACCGCCAGACCTATTCAGCACGAGTCGACCAAGTTTCGATACCAGAGTGGTGCCTGGGTTTCATTTCGCTTTCAAACGGACAGACTTTTGACTAAACTGCGAACCCGGCAAATAGCAGCAAAACGGCTAATTACTAGCTGGTAAATGGCTTAAGGAATCGACAAGAAATCAGTTTCCGAACTAGAGTCCAAATCTACCAACCCTTCGTCTGCTTTTTGCGAAGCATAAGTTTCGGAGAGGGGGGCTACATATCCTAAGGCTAAAACCTTTTGAGTAGTGGTGAGTTTGGGGCATAGTTCGAGTGTCTAGGCAGGCTGATTAAAATGAAGAGGTCCAAGGACGGTTTTATTACACTTCCGAGTTATTGTCTGTGATGGCTGCACACATAACAGATTTGTGCAAACTAAACTCTTAACGGTGCTGTACGGACGATAGTCTGAACAAAACATAGCTGGATGAAGGCTGACACCATCATGGGCTTCTAGTGCGCTTACAGTGCGCGCCAATGAAAACAATGGCGGATAGATGTATGAACCCCGCTTTCGACTGCCAATCACTGGATGTGGTGATCCGTGAAGGAAGTGGGACTGACTTACCCTAAGCAGGAGGCAGTTGTCTCAAAGTAAATCTCATACCACGTTATTGCACAAAATCGGGTTTTCACTAATTAGTGATGAAAATTAACTTAAGAAGATTCTCCAAAAGTATAGTACAGCCATACTGACTACGCAGAGCCGGGCACAGAAGACGACACAGGAGTAACTAGGCAGTATGAACGATACTGTCTCCCATTAGATGTATAATTGGTGAACTGGACTCAAAGTCGCATAAAAACATCCGCTAATCGTTAGTTGAGAGTTGAGGTGCAAACAAAACTCACTTTGTGCTCTCTGGATGGCTTATCCACGATCGCATTAACTCCAAAGCGGTGTAAAATACTGACTTCCACATCCCTTGTTCCACGTGAGCCGTATTGCAAAAATCCAGATCGAATAGAATGACGCTCTCAAACAGAGCAAACAAACGCTCACGTAAGCGCTCCACAGTTGACCACCAACGAAGAATTAGCAGTTGCGACTCGGTCCATTGCTTACCAGGTTGCGGATGCGGTGGCGGTGGTTCAACGCACGGCAGGGCACGAGCACAGATGCCTGGTGGAATCAGCAAAGCTGTAAGGGCGGCGTCCAACTGGACAATCTGTTGTATGACTGCGGAGATTTTCTCGCTGTAGTATGGGTTGTCAACAAAGACAGTAAGACGTCAATATGTTCTGGCAATCAGACCACAACTATGAAGTCCAGCCATGCAAAGATAAATGCAATTTCGGATGAAACAATGACCAATGCTAAGGATAACAATAATAATTTTTCAGATACTGCGTCCTTTCGGAGCACAGATGCCGTGCGACCCGAAGAAAGCACAAGGGCTAACATACTGTCGGGATGCCAAAGTCTAGACACAAACAATCGAAAAGAATTGGGTTCGAGCCAAAGAACTTCCTGTCATTAGTTTCCCACCTTAACCGTTGAGTTATCGCGACCTCACAAGTTGACAATAAGTGTCACTCAGTTAAGTAATCGTCTCAAGTGCGGACAAAAACCTGCTAGTCTCTGCTTTAGTCTCTGATTCCCTAAGACTGAGTACGTTGATAAAAAACACTAATTGGTCTGTTGCTAAAGACAGGTGAACTTGCGTACTTTGGAGCTTGAACAGGCATTGCAAAGTTGATGGAAGTTGCGCTGCGTTGTGATTCTTGTTTGGAATTAACTGTTCCAACATTAGACAAAGAATTCGCGTCATCGAAAGGGTGTTGTCGTTCCTGGTCCATCTGACTTAGAGCTTGCATATAATACTGATAAGCGGCCTTTGCTGTATCCGTCCATGTATGCGGTAGTGCAGAAACAGAAGCTGATGTTGCTCTTAACGACTGTGGAAATCCAACACCATCATGACCAATACCCTTTGTATCTCCGTGCTGCTCAGCCGCCAACGTGGAACCAAGGGTTTCGGACTCTGAATACCGTTGAACTTTTGAAAAACTGGGTCTCACGATGACAACCGGTTTGGTCGTGCTTCCTATGAACGGGGAAAGTGAAACAACACTGAAAATCCTCCTTTCTCAAGTACAAAAGTATATTATCTAGATGTTAAAGGGCTGAAGTTTACTAGTGAATTCACTACTATGAAATAGTCATGGTTACGGAGTCGTGGGTCAACCTCGGTTAAAAATCTGACTAGAATATATCTTGGACAGCATGACATCAACCTTGATAAACCACCTGTTTTCTAGCGAGTGATCAGTAAAACCTCGACCGACTGTATCCGAACGGATACGGAAGATTGCATATAGGGACCATATAGTACGTTTCCTGTACACGGATCATGAACTTTCAGATGTATCCGGTTATCTTAAACAGCTTACGAGCGCCCGATAGAGTATTCTAGCTCCATATATTCAGCGAACTGTCAGCTCGTTACTGAGATACATTGGTGTAAGAGGACCATCGGACGCGGTTATTTGTTCCAAGCAACTGGCAGTGGATAAATGGAGATGGATGACAAGTGTGAAGATTCAAATGTACCAACTCTCAGAAGCTTAATGTGGTCCGGCGTATTCCTTGGCTTTTCGGAAGGCTATTTAGTCGCTTAATGAAAAAAATAGTGGAGTAGACCAATACGGTTATCCCGTATTAAAACTCTTGCGGAAAATAGTGGCCTTATTCTGGGTGCGGTTTTCCTTAGGATCTGGATATTCATGTTGTCTTGTTATGTGCGTCTTAGTCTGTCATTGTCCAACCCTTCCTGACCGCAACGAGCTTATAAATCAACGTACACTACGCACTCCTAAAAGCAGCACACCCAACGATGACGAAGAGAAATGCAAATACAGGCGTTTTTTATTATTGTAGAAAACCCACCAGACAACAAAATCATCGGCCTTCTCGACCTGATATCATTCAACATTGTATTATCACAGGTTCGCACTGATTTGGAAAGCTGAAAACTTGCTTGCTTTCAACCAGAGGTCTTTCAGCTTGCTACCGCTTGAAACTCGCATGTTGCTGGCTTTTAGCTGAGTTAAGACACACCACATTGATCTGCTTTTCTCTTTTGCATCAGTGATCTAAGCCTTAGTTTCCAGTGGGGGCGAGATAGCTCCAGGGGTTGGAGCGCGAATTTACTGACCGGAAGGTTTGTGGTTAGAACGCGACCTCTGCTTCCCCTGTCTAGGCTTGGACAACCTGGCAGTATCCCAGCCCTCCTGCTTCCTTCGGGTAGCATGGTAGCTAGGCACCGGAAGGGTGTTACAGCTGAGCGACTAGTTTCTGGTGGGGCAAAAATATCAGACTCTGTTACTAATTGTCGAATGATCGAAGCCCCGTATTGTGAACGTCACACCCGATTATCCGGAATGCAATCGTGTGCTTGAGGGTGATCGGGTAAACTTTACACCAATGGGTTGCTGGAAGTGACTGATCCTCCAATTCATTCCTCATTTTTTAAACATTTTATTGTTAGCAAGCCCCATTAGGTCACAGGAACGTGTCTTCCACCATACCAAAGCCAACCCTCAAAGGTTGATCTCGTTTTCTTGGTACTATATCTTGCCGGCAACAGTAAGATCGACTGAGTTGAATCGGATGGTGGGTGAAATCCATGGGACCGTGGAAAGCCCACTTGTTTCCAGCAGGGCGTGGATGGTACACGGGAACGAAGGCGTCACACCGAGCAGAATAAGCCGTCTAAATGACCAAAGATGGTTTTCGTCTGAAAAAAACAGCAACACGGTAGGACGTGGACGATAGCATTAGCCGATTCGACAACAGACTATCGACTATGCTCAGCCAACTAGCTGTCGTGACCTCCTGCGCCAAGTTGGCTGACATCCCACTCCACCCCTAATTCAATTTACTACTTAGAATTGCGAGTACGTTCATCAAGGCCACCTGTTGATAAAAGCGACCTGTAAATACAGTTCTATATGTCACTTCCAAGATTGTCAGTAAGACCTACTGACAGAATAGGCAGTCACAATCCGACCGCGCGAAATTCGCAATGCGTTCTCATGCACGGTGAGTACAACCCTCACATACACCGTGTCCGCCCCATAAACCAACCCGGCGAACTATCGGACGTCAAGTGAAAGTTAGAGTGCGCATCAATTCTGAGGCTTAGTGGTCCCGGAAGGTCAAGGAAACGTAGCAGACGAAGGATATTGGCAATTCCCTAGGATCCGTTCGACCAGTTCCAAAAACGGCCTGTGAGCTAAATCACCAAGCACCAAACTGGGGTGATCAGTTACAATGAGGGACGCCTCTACTGCTTGACAGAGTACCTTGAACATCAGTTCACGTAGTCACCTGATGCTATTCAGTCGGATTCATGGACTGCAGTGAAACCCTGGAAAGTGACCAGAAACCTGTCATTGCCTTGGAGGTTTGTGACTTTACCTTCCCTCGAACACCTGGTCCTGGTTCGGGCCCTGGACCATTTGTATCCGTTTTGGAAAAGGAGATTGTCCCGGGCAATTGGGGCAAATCGGTGATGGCTTTGAAAAAGAAGACCGTGAGGCGTGCAGTAATCACAGACAGATCAGATTGATCACAGTCGTAAAGAGACTCTCAGCCTCACTTGTCCTTCGTTGCCTTATGATGGCTCGTGAAGCGTTGCCTCGAGAGCAGAGAGCAGAATATCGGCCGGGTAGGGGTCGGGTTGACGAAATCTTTACACTCAATCAAGTGGTAGATCGAAGCTATCTATAAAAAGAGACCCACAGACTTGGTATCCTCGAACCCCCAAAGCGTAGACGACTCGACTTCCCAGCTTGCTCAGTAAGGGTAACCCAGGATTTTGTGAATAAATGTTCCTTGGATTCTCAGACTTCCCGGCGTAAGAGTATACCGAGAGCTTTCCAAAGCTTTCCTACGAAGTGATGCACGACAAATAAGAATGCCATTTATTCCAATTAAATTTCGTCATCGGCTAGGTAACGAAAACGAAACCCTGACATTCAAATGCTGGTGACGAAACACTGCCAACTCGCAATCGTTCACGTCTTCAAAAAGGATAACATGACAATTAATTTGAAACGAACTGATCAAATAGGTCCAGTTCATTGGCATGTGTTTTGCACCCTTAAAAAAGAAAGGTTATGCTCCTGTGCAAGTAGTCACTGGGTAAATCACTTACGATCCAACGGGACACTCGATGTTGTAGGGTGTTTTATTTATCCTGGAAGTTGCATAAGCTCCGAGTGTGGTGTGACACATACATATATACACACCGTCCAGTCGTAACACCTTTTCGATGTTTAACTGCTGTACCACGCTAAGGAAGCAGGAGATCTGAGACATTATCAGCTTGCCCAAGCCTAGACAGAAGTAGTCGAGGTGTCGGGGTTGGGTTCGGACCAAGGACCTCCCTATCAGTAAGGCTGTGCCTGAATCACTGGAGCTGTCTCAGTGATAGATGATGCCCAAACAGGAATCCCTACGAATCGGATAGTTTTTTTAATTTGAGACAGGTATGGCGGCGGAGTGGTATATCTCTGAATCTCAAGGGACGGGTATCGGGCTAAAACACCGACTTTTCTGCCGTACTGTTGTGAGGTGTGGTCTCTGCAAGCAACAGGACTAAGAAGTCGTTGAAAACCGTTGCCTTAAAACCATACCTCGTGTAGGCTGGTATCAACGAATCCCCAAAGAGACAATTAGAAAACGAGTGTTCCACTGAGTAACAGGTATTCCGATCAGAAATCGTGTCCAGCACTTCAAAAATCCGGTTTTGTCAAGCATTACGCCGTTTGCCGAAAGGTGCTGATTTCCGTGCCCAGTTAAGAGTGGCACAAGTAGAGAAGTAATCAACGCTTGACCTCGTAGCGGGATATGAAAGGGATTGCGAAAGGTCTGGATACTGTCGATGCAACTCGCCTCTAAGTATGGCGTCTGCGTGACCTGTCTTTTGCATGACTGGATACGCTCCAAGATATGGCTGCTAATCGATGACTTAGACGTTATGTTGTCAGATTCTATCCAGTTCCTGGACGTGCATGCACATCTGAGTAACCATGGTAGTCCTGCCCTAGGTCCTTTTCTCATCCACTGTTGTTATTTTCTCCCGAATAATGCTTCAAATGAATTGTAGTTGCACTGCAACGAGGCGTCAGTGCTGAGCTAAGACTCAGTACTTTGTGATACCGATGATGATGATGATGATGACGGACTCCGCGAATGCCACACATAAACTCTGGTAAAGCTCAATGGGCCGCGGACCAGTACAAATCGGTACGACACAGTCCAGACTCCCTGAGAATGTCATTTCACCATGAGAAGTGGACCGATAATTTGCGGACCCCTCAGATCTCAGAGAAGGCGGTTTCATCGCTGGAAGTCGATGGGAAAAATCATGCACCATCAAAACTGGTTCCTATTAGTAGACAAATTCTGGCGGTGAAAGAAGAGCTGCGCTGAAATTTCTGCTTAGTTAAAGTAGTGAGTGATGCCAATGTTCAGATAATACCAAACTCCATGACCAATGTCTTCAATGTTAAGATATTCTATATAGTCAAACTACGACTACAGTGGAAACAAAAGACAGGGTGCATGTCACCAAGTGGCACCTTTAGGAACTGGATAGACCCTGATTGCAACCCATTTACAACCAATGCACAGGCAAAATGGATTTAACACCACTCCGAATCATCCGTAGAATCGCTCCTCTGATCAAGTTTGCAGGTAAACTGCAGAACAGGAAAGCATAAGTCAATCTGAATATCGGGCCTACCTCACAAAGGTAAGGGAAGTCAAAATTTCGTCCAGCTATAACACCCTTTCGGTGCCTAGCTGACATGCCACCTGAAGGAAACACGAGGCCTGCGATACTGTCAGGTTGCCCAAGTCTAGACAGGAGAAGTTGAGAGGCAGAGGTCGGTTTCGAACCACGGCCCTTCCGGTCAGTAAATTCGCTCTCTAACTACTAAATTACCTCGCCCCCGTGGGTAAAGACCGACATGTGGAATCTCGCTAATTCGAAAGTCAAGTTTTGACAGCAACAATCGGTACCACGTAGGATAAGCAATCACGGTGCTATTAATCCATTCACAAGCAACCCCGGTCAATGTCTTAATGCATCTGATTCAGTCAACTAATCTTTTGTTTTCTTTCTACGCGCCATCATGATCCCTAGTACCATTTAAATGACGCCAAGATTATCAGCTACCTAAGGAGCTGGCATAGCTGCATAGTGTGGAAAGCGGAATCAACCACTAAATAGCAATGAATGTTCTAACTTATCCAGTAAACTATTGAAGATAAGCTAGAAAGTCTTGTTAATATAAGTTCTCTCCCAAGGTAAAATGAAAGCAACCACCTAAGAGCAAACATGGACAATATAGGCACGAAAAGAAGTCGTTAGGAGTCGATATCATGATAAACGTCTCAGTCACTGCTCATTAGTCGGAGATCACTATGAGCATTGCCCCAGGGTATGGAACCCTGTCTTAAGAGAAATCGATATTGAATGAAAGAGTCCAGCCTGGTATGTGCACTGCATTGTGCCGATATCTGAAAAGGAAGTTGATGGAAGTATGCAGGCTTTTTATAGATTCCAGTACCAGCGCCGGTCATTACACAGCAAAGGAGATCTTACGGATCAGAATGAATTAGTGAAACAACCTCAATAAAACGCTAGAGGTCGTTTCTTTTCTCCCTGAGTCATCAGACTCTGGAATAAGCAGTTAGGGATCATATCGAATGGTAGGGGTTGATATTTACCGCACAAATAATGGGGAACAGCTTCCCCGATCATGTGCTGAACAACATTTGTTGCTAGAAACCACAGCAGATACAGCTAGACACCACTACACAGCAAAAAAAACCGACACCATTGGATTTAGACGGCCACAAACTACAAACCAGCTGTGCACTCATTCGGACGTGGCAATCAGTTACCGGTGAACTATGAAGCTAGACTGCCATTCACTTTGGAGTAAAATACTGGAATTTCAAATTTTTGCAGTCGTTCGCTGTAGTATAAGGATTGGATGTACATAGCTTGCAGCATTCCGTACTACACTATAGTGTAGCAGATACCCACTTTCCTGCTTTTATTCGAGTGCTTTTCGCATGCGCTTTAGCGATCCCTATTACTCTGCCGGTTAATTTAAGTCACAAGGACTAATGAACCCAATGTGTGGCATCAACAGCCAGCCACTTGGTATCGTCCAGATATCCAAAACCGTAAAATTGATATTTGTGGGAAGCAAATCACAGAAAATAGTGCAAAATCCAAGGACGGAAGGCACCCGGAGTGCACTGCATTTCCGGTGCTTCCCAACTTTTTTCTTCGTTATGTCAATTTCGTATGTTTTGTGATACAATCATAACACTGTCACATATCTTAGGGCTTTTCGTCTTCCTTTTCTTAACACCGCACATTTCGCTTCATTAGGTCTTTCTGACTTCACCTGAAACAACCAAAAGAGATATCAATGGCTGTAACACCAGCAAAAAAACACTAGCGTCTCAATGCGTGCAAACAAGTCGATTCGTTTGTAAATAGAAACAAGAATAGTTGGACAACGGCGGGGCCTAGCGCTAGCCTACTATAAACACCCCATGTGCTAACAACTCCAACACTCAGTTTGACATCACCATCATGATCGATAGCACGACATCAGTGTTCAACACCGATGCTTCACTGCCGTACAACCGTGATTTATTTGAAAGCCTTATTGTAAACAAAAGAATAAAGGTAGATGGGGGAGGGACTTAGTGCTAGCTTAACACAATCATTCCGAGGTGCCTACACCTCCAGACATTCACTCAGGCAATCTGGATAGAATCTGACAAGAACTCCACTGACATCGGTTGGCAGCCATATCTTGTAGTGTCTCCAACCAGGCAGTGAGGATCACGCGGTCCCCATCCTGGAAGGCGAGTAGTACCGACAGCACCCAAGCGTTTCGTGATCTCCTTCATACTCCTCTGCCAAGTCAAGGGTTGGCCACCTCTCTGTTTACGCCACTCCGAATTGGGCATGGAAAACAGTACTCTCTTCGGCAAACGATGGTTCGGCATACGTAACACATGTCCCAACCAACGCGGCTTCTGCTGCATGACACATTCTTCAATGGAAGTACCCGTTACACAACCGAAAACACGCTTTCTAACTGCCTCGTTACGGATTCGCCGACACCAACTCACGCGAGCTATGGTTCTGAGACGACGATTGTCGAACACCTGAAGACGTCTCAGTTCCGCTGCTTGAACAGCCCAAGTCTCACAGCCATACAAAACACCTTGTACTGTAGCTTGATACACACGTCCCTTGAGATTCAGGGATAAACCATTCTGACGGCATAGGTGTCTCAAGTTAGTCCAAACATTCCCACCACTCAAGATTTGGCACGGGAAACAGATTGCATTGCGGAATCGATTCATCATGCGAAGTACCTGTTGTTTCACCGAAAGCCCGTTTCCTGATTACCCCATTGTGAGTTTGTTGGTTCCAACCGATTCCAGCTGCAGTAATGAGACGACGGTCAAAAACCTGGACATGCAGTGACTATATTTATTAGCTGTACAACGCATGCCCCGTGAAGCCTATGGTTTGCCTTTTCGGTGCCGCAGGTGAGGCGAACTGGCAAATGCAAATCCGGTCTATAAGATTCGCGCCTTGAACGCTGTACCTGAGTTAGTAGCTCACTTCGATGTTCAAACTTCAGAAAACCAAGAACCCCACAACATCCATGGCGACACCGCGATGTCAACCTCTAGTCGAAGGAACGAGTTTGTGACGTACAAGTGCAGTTTGCACCAATCTGCAGTTCAGTTAATTTTATCAGCTATAAACCACGTGCCAAAGGTGCTTTGATCCTAAAAGCCATAGTTTGTGTTATCCAAAAAATGGGCGGTCAACCGATCGATTTATCAGCTATAAATCGTGTACCATAGACGTATTGGTTCCAAGAAGAGCGAGGGAGAAATAACCAGGCATTAAATTTGACGGCACATTCAGTCAGTCGTTGATGAATCTTCTTCATTGTTCGAATAGGCGGGAAACGGAGCAACTACGCATTTAAGGCAACTGCTCCGATGCAGGGGCGCCATTCCTTCCACGATTCTGCCAATTACATTAACGATCGATGAGTTGAGTCTCAGGCCCTCAGCCAGTTGTTAACCCGACTAAATTATCTAGTAAGTAGTTTCATATTTCGTTACCAAGCTATAGACAGTCTGTCTCTCGATCATTTGAACATGGCACAGAGATGGGCAAAACGAGCTCTTTCATCATCGTCAACATCATCACTCACAGCAACACCAGATGAGAGCACCGGTTTTCCTACAACCGTCAGCTAGTTTGAGTCTTATCATCGAAATAGAAGAGAGGGGGGCCTAGGACTAGCCTATAATAAACTTCCGAGGTGCCTACACGTCAAACTCTCTGCCTCATAACCTTAATAGAAACCGACGGAATGAACACTGATATCGAATAACTGCCATATCGTCTAATGTCTCCAGCCTAGTACAAGGAAGGTCAAGTGGATTCAATCCTGGAAAGTAAACAGCATCAAAAGCAAGCCCTTCACAACATCCTCCATTTCCTACTTCCTGCCTTATCTAAGTTTGTTCATCCCTAGTTTTCCACTAATTCGAATTGGGTATGTAAGACAGCGCTCGTTTCGGCATGTGTAGCAGCCACCGCCAGCTCAGCTTGCAGTGCTGAGGGAAGTACCCTTTGCTTCACCAAAAGCCTGTCTCTGCCCTCTTTATACACCTATTTCACAACAACCACCTTCGATTTTTTGCTACGTGACGAACAGGCCAAATACCTGGATAGGCCTGCAAACTTGATGTCGTTACTCCCGCGAACGTCATGTCTGAACAGTTGGTTAAACGATGGTTGTTCATTAGAGCTTTAAACATCTGCGAGGGGCTATAATTAAAGGGCATCGCAATAATTGACCGTTTTTTTGTGAGAAGAGAGCATTGGGTGCAATTTCCCCCTCACACTGTCCACCGTAAACGGTATGTCACCATGACTCCTATGCAGTCCTAACTAGAGTGCCTTTCAGTGTAACCATCCCATGTATCAACACGTACGATGTCATGAAGGCACTCAAATGAACGAAGCTAGCTCGAGGGAAGCCCGGAACTTTAGCCAATTGGTTCACGTATCGGACACGTATCGGGCTGCCCCAGAGGAAATGCCGCCATTGTTTCGAAACCCAACCGGCTCTAAATTCACGGAGCGAAGGGAGTGGGAGTAAGACATTGTAGGGAGAATACAAAAATACGTACCTTGATTCCCGCGCTTGGGTTGTCTGGAGATCCCGGTTTTAGGTTCATCCGAGCTCTGGTAAATATCGATGTCTTTTGGTAGATGGATTAAGCCACCGTGCTTCGCGGTGTCCGTTTTGGCGCTTGTTGGCTCAGAGTATTTTGGTCCTGAAGTCCGACAGGCGTCTTCTTCGGAGCAAGAAGCTTTTGCATCCAGTGGGTTTGCAGTTTTTATGTCATCAACTAAAGTGGGAGCTCCTCCAATTACTCTGGCTGCTTGGAAACGATTCCGGTGAGGTTTTGTCTCTGAATGTCTACTCCCACCTGAAGGGTTCCAGGTTAAATTCCGGTGATACCGCTCGTCTTTTCTTCGGCTAGCCTGATACCTTTTGTCTTCGTGAGCCGTTGAGTGTTCCATAATTGTCCCGGGTGCATAGCGCGTGTCCCTTGGGGAGTCACCAAGGGATTGGCCACTGTAGTTCGTTTCATCCACCGCTTTTATACTATTCGTGGTACGCAATTCATCCGAACTTTTGTGCTGACATTCTGCTCTCCTGTTGCTTACATCAGCATACTGTCCATACTTTGGATGCCTGTAAAACTTTCTGTCAGGCTTCCGCGATTTCGCTATCTCAGACATTTCCAAGACCGGTAGTCTGTCGAAATGGGATGAGTGGAGGAAAATATAACGATCCTGCAGTGGCTGCTGCCTTAGCTCCTAAAAGACCGGTGGTTTCGACGCGAAAGCCACCGAGTGCCTGGACGGGGTAACTGACGGACAGCGGGCAGCAGGATCAAGGCCAACTTACCATTGGTGAATGCTCTGGCTAACTACCTCTCTCTGGTTGGTCAGAATTTCTTCGCGGGCTCCGTCCGCAGGTCCATGGATTTCACAGCTTTACAACATACTTGATGTAGCACACAGCGCCTGCCATTTTGTTGGGTTCATAAGCAAGTATTGGCACAAATTTTCTTGACGCGCTTCGGACCCCAGGCTTTCTTTCTGTTTGCCATCAAAGAAAACTGTCTTGAACTCTCCACCGGTGTTTCCATAGAGTACATACCACACTCGTTGATTGAACTGCGTCCTGACAATCAATCGTAGCTTGGGTGCACGGTTTCGAGCGGCCGAAAAGTAGGGAAGCCGTGAAGAGTTCGGAGACGGTCACTTACCATGGGTTTCAAGCGCTCCAAAATTAATGCAGAAAAAATAAGTTTTCCTCTGAGTTCCCCCATTTGAAGACGTCCCCGTGCTTTCTGCGCATCACAAATTCTCCGGATTGTAGCCGAGGATAGGCGTAACTAGAGCCTTCGTCCGGCTTCTAGGAGATCGATTTGCTTTGTTCTAGAGGGGAAAGGAAACAGCGTACAGAAGTGAGGGCCCCGTTGGCATAACTAGATCTAGTGCACTATAACTGACAGTCTGTAGCTTTAAATGTAGCAATGTATGTTTCACATTACGCGGTAGAAGTTTCGTCGTGACGCTCCGTTCCGCCCGTTTACCGAAGAAATTTGCTTTCCTGACGGTTCGCCTTTCCGCCTGGCGGCAGCCGTTGGGCAAGTTCAACGGAACCCAGTCTAACCGTTGGGTCTGTGGGTTTCAACCCTGTGCCGAGCCGTTCACTGAAGGCGGTGTGGGTTTGTCGGTACCAGTGAAGCAAACAATTCAGGTTCACGGTCAGTTTTCGAACCCAAGTCTTCTACGTAATATTCGGAATCGTCAGACCTGCATGTGACTAAAAATTCGGGAACCTCGACACAGATGTGATAGCCCACATTGTGTGTGATTTTTCTGTTGCGCTTGTGGAGAAGGTGAGCGTGAAATACCGATTTTGTGAGAGCTTCCCGGAAATCTGGTTTTATCTGTACCTTTGGTCGCTGTTGGAATCAAGCTGTTTCACGATTTTCTACTTGCTTCTCGGATGTTAGAAACAATTTGTCAGCCCAGAGGACTGGAAGAAAACGGCGTTTACGTTTGTAGACACCCAGTATCAATTTAGTCGTGCGCCGTTAGGTTTGTTGGAAACACCATTCACTTCTCGGCGCTTCGGAGTTTGTTTAACGGACGGATTTTAGAACGTCATTGTGGACGGGGAATATATGGTCTTCAATAGCAATGCGGAACCAGAACACGCCATTCATCTGCAGCCCCTATTAAAGCGTATTCGGGGGAGTAGCTTGTGGGAGACTGAAGCCAACGCACAGCTAAATGGAAGCTTGAATAGGCTTCGGGGCATAAATAAGGTAAAATAGGGGTTATTCCATAACCTGGTTAGCTAGGAAAGATCCGGGACTCGGCAATCCCAAATTCGAAGAGGTTTCTACGGCAGTTTATTGGGCGAGCAGTGTACTAAAGTCAGGTTATCGGTTTCAAAACTATTCCTGTCCCACTGCACGCCTCTCTGCGTCAAAATCGGACGTTCTAATGGACAAATGAAGCTAATGAAGCCCCTGAAGAAGTCAAAAAGCGGCTGCTGCCCGTAAGCAGACGTGTTGGCGCTATCGAATGGGCCATTCGTGTACCGATTAACGCTGAGCGGAAGTACTCATCTATTCATAGAGAGTGCCTGGCGATTGTCTGGGCCATGAATAAGTAAGCCATATTTTTGGTAGAGATGTTTCACATCGATACCAATCACAACCTGAGTGGATCAGGAGCACCATAGATCCTCGCCGAAATCTCACGTTGGGCACTCCGGTAACAGGACCACAACTCTACTATCAAGCATGTTTCGGAGAGAGATTAGTTTAGTCAATTCACCGCCGAGTCCGGAGACTGGAGATAAAGCTAGTGGCGTCGTTATAAAATTGGATTTCCGAAGGTTGGTGCAGCTCTGCAGCAGGATCCAGCGCCACGGAATGTTGCAGCCACCTTGTTGGACGTAAGGGGTATTGACGCCGTGGAGAGCGATAGAAAACTTGAAACGTTCTAGGGTCATTCGATAACCTGAGCCTAAATGAACCTGGCATAATATCCTAGGACGCCTGGAATTAGAATTTCTTGTTGCCCGCGAGACCTTGCATCCCGCAAAGTAACCTGACTGTCCAGCACATAGAATGCACCAAGACATACGACTTACGTCGGCAGGGTACCTACCGGCCATGAATGAAAAGTGGGGTGATGAGTTGTGTGGTGGCCCAAAGTCGGTTTTAAATGATGAAATGGACCCCAATACATGCAGCTCACCCCATAGAACACATCTGTGCACAGAGGTTGGAGAGTTATGGCTCGCTGAAACATCTGTTCCATTCCGTAGCGGATAGGAAAAATCATGGCATAATAATGACAGAACAACTGCTGTGGTGGATTGTGGTCGCGGCTGTTCCGAGTCAACCAGCGATGACCATCAATGTAGTGGTAATGTGCCACATCAATGCCAATGATGGGGCACAAAAAATATTCTCAATTGATCGCTGGTCACGCTCTGAGAACGAAGATTTCTGAATTTGCTTGCTGCAGCTGGACATCAAGCGGCTAAGGACTTCAATAATCGCCAGAATCCAGGAAGGATTAAACTGTTGAAAAAAGCTCGCTAAAAGATTGAAAGGCCCGTTTGTTTTTACCGACTGTCGAGGGATGGTCGAGAGTCAAAAGCCGTAAACGGTGCTAAGCTTCGGATGCGGCACGAAACGCCCAAAAATCTTTGAAATAGGCCGGGCGCTGACGCCGACCTAACCGAGTCAAATGGAACATCGGTGACAGGCTCGCGATCGTTTAAAGGGGAGGAGTATACTGGTGTTTACTTCTGATGAAGCGTGCAAGTATGCTCAGGTCTCATATCCACATCAATTAAAAATGAATATTACTACGTAACTCACTGAAATGCTTTTCAATGTTTGCTTGGTATTGTTCAACCGGTGTCATAAGTTCGAATTCCATTGGTTAATAGTCGGTGGATGTCTGGAAAAGTTCGAGAAAGCGTGTGCAGATGTTTACCTTTCAGAAACTGTGAGTGGATGACATGTTTGATTTTGCGTCTAATGAGTCGTGGTCGCTTAGTTTGTTTTTGCTGATAAATAACTTTGCAGTAAATAGCCTGCTTTTTTAATTGGTAGAGAGTTCGCCCGAATATTTTCACAGGCAGCCTGTATGGATGCGTGTTAAAGTTTAGCCTTGGGCTTCACGCGGTTCACTGGCATGGAACGAGCTAGGGAAACTGAGGGACCCTTTCGGGATCTTTGCATGAAAGCTGTGCGGCCACTATATGCGCGTGGCTACTGCCAGCTTGACAGCCTTCAGTAGAGCTTCAGTAATTGGGGGTATGTGGTTTGGGCCGGTGGAATGTACTCCGGCAAGAAAGAAACCCGAAAGTCTCAGGAGCAAACACTTGCTCTGAAGGCGAATGAATTTACATTGCGCCCCAGAAATTTTAGCCGCAGCCCGGTTCTTTTCGTCAACGTGAAAATACTACCTCTTGAGCTCTGATTGACATAAGAGAGCGTAGCCTTATCAGGCTCGTGGGAAGACACACTAAAACTCCTGCGTCCAGAGCTGTGGCGCCTGTTTGTGTAGCATCTAGTGAGCATGGATTTGGACTTGCCCACGCCGAAAAACAGGCTTTTCGGGACCGTGTGCGGGTGAAGTATCAATGGGTTTAAATCGTTGAACCGACAGAGGAAACAGGTTATTTACGTGGCCTTGCTTTTTTAGATGTTTATAAACATATCTTCCTTCTTTTTCTCCCTCTTCACTTTTGATTTTCGTTTTTCAACTTTCAGAGCCCGTCGTCTATCAGTGGTGTTAGAAAAAGGGATCAGATATATGGTTTGGTATTATGGAGAACAGAATCCAGAACGCTAAGTTTAGTGGTCGGAGCAATTTTACTAAAGTTTGACAAAGCCAAATGGAGGAGCGCTGTAAGAAATATTCTTCCAGTCAGTGTGTAGGCGGATTATTATGCCTCGGTAGAAAAACTATAGCCAGTGGAAAGTTTCATCCTGAGACCATTTTGATGTGGTGCGTGGAGGCATGACAGGAGACAGGCGGTGAAGCTTTGCTTGTGTGGGAGTGAATCAGTGTGCAGTGCCTGCAAGTTGAAGTGAGTTGAAGCGTCCACGCCACTCCTAGTTAATAGGATCTTACCCGGTAGCCAATGGTTCGCTCGGCTATAGATTCTGGTTGAAAAAACTTGGTAAACGCGCAGGCTCCTAACTAAGACCCAAAATAAACCGATTCTGGTAAAGAAACTTCCGTTCCAAACTAGGATTACCTGCCTCGAATACTGGTTCAGGAATGTTAGCCGCGCCTTGGACGCAAGTTTTTTAAAAAACCTTTGCAACCGAAACAAAGCTTTTCAAACCAAAAGCCTGCATTTTGGTACAAACGCGCTCAGAGCAAAAACCATCGTAATCTACCGTCATTTTTCTTTCTTTGTTTTAATTGATCTGCTTTCGGAAATTTTGTTGCTCATTCGACTGTGAACTTGCTGCATTATGCTCATGAAATTATTTCAGATGTAAAACTATCTGAAACTTCCGTCCATTGACAGTGAGTCACATTTTCCGTAATTCGCGATTTCTCATAAAATTAGGCAACACATACACAGCAAGTGGTGTCCACTGATCTTGACGAATTTCAGATGTAAAACTATCTGAAACTTCCGTCCATTGACAGTGAGTCACATTTTCCGTAATTCGCGATTTCTCATAAAATTAGGCAACACATACACAGCAAGTGGTGTCCACTGATCTTGACGATTCGCTTACTTAAACAAATCACCAATATGGATAATTTGCATAATTCCTATACGTCATACCCAGACATTATACG